CCCACTTCATTTATTCGATCTGTATTGTGCGATGAGGTAGGAAATTTTGGTCGAGCAGTCTTTTAATTGCAGGAGCTCCTGTTCTCCATTGTGTAGCAATTTCATTTTTTCTTCTAATCAAATTGAACATGCGATTCAGGATGGTATGTAATGTTATCGTAATTTTGTTTTAATCTGGTGGCATTATTAATGACTCTTCTAATGTAATTATTGGTATTGTGAATTTCATTCTCAATGTTATTCATTCAGAGATGTTATTGCAGCATAGGGTTGGCTGTTGGCATTGTGATGCTAGATTTAAACTTGTTCCAGTTAATGATGTAACTTGCAGGAGGATGATTATGTTTAATTCCATGCAAGATGAAACTGAAAGGTAGATAATGGGAGCAAAATTAATGTTTCACTTCAAGGAAAGGGGATTTGAGTCATATTTTTATAATTAATGTATCCAATACTTCCGAGGATCCAACGTGATGAAGTAGGTAGGTTGAGTAAGTCCAATGGTGTTGAGTCTATTGATGATTGCAAAGTTATCAGTTATATTCCCATTTGCAGTTCTGATGCGAGAGTTCCAAGAAGGGGCTTTTGCACTTAAATCATCAGCTATTAGCGTGGAAAATTGCAGTTAGTCAGCATCGTGAGATCACTATATGTAAATCTATTTTTTGGAGGACTGTAAACAGAGATGGTAATATATGGATTCCCAGTGAGGTTCTGTAACATTATCACAGTATAATCTATTGAAGTGTTACAGGTGAGATATTTTGAAGTCTTCAGTAATTTTTAGCCATAATTAAGGTGCCTCTGCCACTATTGTATGAACGATCTGTTCTGAAAATTTTATAGCCGTAGTTCCGCTTGCAATCACAAGAACGGAGATGAGTTTCATTGACAAGTATAGTTCGACTGCCTCATCCGCGACCATGAGCGCAAAAACGCATGCGCCATTCGAACCGAATTATTTTCAAAATAGGGTGGAAGGATGTGGACTTTCCCCTTGAGCATAGCTCTTTCCGGAGAAGAGAAGACCTTTCACGTCGCAGCAAGTAATACCGCCCCTTTTGGACGAGTCTATGTGTTTTGGCAGAATGCCAACTAGGGTTGCACTATAGACGGTCGAACTATAAAATGTCAATATTATACTTATTTAGATAGGATTCAAGTTAGTTCTCCTGCCTCTTAATATTGCAAGTGCAGAAGAATGCAGTATTTAAACTGCTGATCTGGAATTTGGATCAGGGGCGTAGCTAGAGGGGGGCATCTGTTCCCGGGCGCAGAATCCAAGGGGCGCCAAACTGATGTTACGAAATTTTATAATTAAATGTTTTCCATCCTTGGCAAGTAGTAGGGGGCGCGAAATCTTCAGTTGTTCCTGGGCGCTGAAACCCTAGCTACGACTCTGATTTGGATTGAATCTGCTTTAGTGCCTCAAATCTGATTTGGAGCTTTTCGATTACTGATTTTGAACTTTTTTTTTCAAATTTTTGCGAAAAGAATTTTTGCTTTTTGTGTATAACCAGCCCATAAAATTTTGAGATTTGTCTTGGGTACGGTTTACACTGATGACTGGAAAGCAGATTTCCGAGAATCAAACTTTCAATCTTTGGTTTTGAAGGATGACATGTTAGCCGTTGCACTGCTAGACCAATGTCTAGATAGCATCGACTTCTGAGGTAAATAAACCGTCTTCACAGGACTAGAACCATCACTTATTTGGTGGTAGGTTTAGGCTTGGTAGGGACCGTACTGGTACGGTTTTCTCTGCCACTTGATTGTGGGGATGTTACATTGTCAGATATTGCAGGTTGTCCGAGGGAGACGGGATACCGTTGGTCAACACTTGGGGATGAATGGTGTCTGACTTTGTGATATTTTAAGCATTGAGATTTATATTTCCCAGACACTGAGATATTTGAAGTCCTCATGGGTTGCCTGAGGGTAGTGGCACCCTCTCAGTTAGCCTCTGGAGGTTGGGGCATTAATAAACCGTGTTAAGGCAGCCTCGAGCATAGTAGGTCTGGGAACCACTTCCTGTGGTGGTGTTCTGCTCTGTGTTCTGAGCGCTTCTTTGAGGTAAGTAAAGGCAAAACTTTTCCGTTATGGGCGGGGAAGGTTAGATTTTTTTCGCTATTGTTTCCTTGTTTTTGGGGTATGTTTGGCTCTCCAACAGGACTTCCTTGGGAGTGTGTTTTTTTGTTTTCTTTTGCATTCCAAGGTTTCATGTTTTCCTGAGCATTTTAAGCATCTTGTATTGTAATGGCCGTACCGATGGCAATTATGATATTGGTTTGGCCAGGGCGCAGTTTTGAAAGGTTCTACGAATATTGAGAGACAGTGGTTAGTTTAGTGGTAATTTAGTTTGCGTTCCGATCGAGGTTTCTGATTTCATTCTTTATCTTGCGCATTAAGTGTTTAACTGTTTTGACAGGTATGTCAGTATTTAAGATGCCATTTTTGGTATATTCTGGTTTTGTAAAAATAAGCAGTTTTTCAATGACTTCCCTAATAGGCTTATCTTGTGCTAGGGGAAAGGAGTAAAAGGAGTTTTTTTTTTTTTGTCTGTTGAACAGGATCATGATATTAGATTAGGTTTTGGCCTGTCCCAACTTCATCATCAAAGCAATACTAGATATTGAAAAAGCTATGGTTTAAATAATGTACGGCGTTCTACACAGAATTGGGCTGTGTAGCCCAGAAGGCTGAATCTAGTGAGGCGTTGACCTTAATAAACTGAAGCATTTTACTGAATGGCAACAGTCTGGCGAGCTGGAGACAAAATGTTTTATTTCGAACAGTGTTGCCATTTCTCGCTTTTAAATCACTGAGTTTTGGGAAAAAAATTGTTAAATTTGTATGAAATACAAAATAAATCAAACAAATTCGAATCTGAGTTAAAGTAACACGTCGTTTTACGATTATTGGAGGTGTTAAGGCAACAATAATCAGTGTGACATTCATAAATTTGCAAAACTACGCTGCTAGCCATTAAAATTGCAATACCAGGAAGGAATAAGCTGACAAGCGTCAAAATCATACGAAAGGAAAGAAGATGTTGGGATATGCAACTGATTAGTATTTCAGCGCATTTAGACGAAGCAGGAGGGAGAAACGACATCCGAAGCACTGCATAAAAGAAAAGTTGTATAGGGAGCTTGAATATCGTGTTATCCCTCGAACAATAAGAAGAAATGCTTATCAGCAAGTGTCGGAATTCGATAGAGGCAGGATTTTTGCCTATCGAAAGTATGGATTATCGTTCCGTGGTATTGCCCGTCGCAGTTGTCGACATAAAACTACTGTCATGCAAATATGAAATCAGTGGGTTGCTGAGGGTTGTACTGAACGGCATGCAGTATCTCGACGCCCTCCCATGAATAACGCCCGCGAGGACAGATATATTGTGAGGTCAGCCCTGCAAAAGCGTACAACCACATCATGGACCATTAGTCAGCAAATAGGCATATTTGCAGCACGTCCAGTATCCGCTCGTGCTGTGCGTCGTTGTTTGTATCAGCGTGGACAATCAGCTCGGTAACCATTACTTCGGCAACCCTTGACAATGCAGCATGCCGAACAACAAAGCTAGATACAGGAGTGGCACAACTTCATCTTTTCAGACGAATCCCGGTTCTGTATGAGGTATTCTGATAGCCGTATACGTACCTGGAGGTTTCGAGGAGACCGCTCGTCGCCTGCTTGCATTCGATATCGGCTTCAAGGCCCTGCACCTGGTGTGACGGTTTGGGCAGCCATTGGATACACGACACGCATTCTTATAAACCCCTAAACTGTTTACAAATTTAATCATTTTGTCTTCATGCCTTACTCTTTACGTTCAATAAATATCTTTTTTGTATTTGCTTTCCTTAATGGTGTTGTAATTTTAATGGCCAGCAGTTTAGTTCAGAAGTTTTAAATATAGTATCTTTTTTTTCAGCTGCAGAAAGATTTTTATAAGTAATAAACTCTTAGTTACTAAACTTGGGGAAGAAGAATATTGCAGTTTTAACAAAGGATTTTAATTTGTCTTTACTGTAAGATTTTAAGGAAATTATTTCATATTTGTTTTCATAGTTTGTCAATAGGTAGTGCCATTAGCTTGACTTCCTTCTTTTATTGCTATCGCCTAAGCACAGGCTTTTCCTTTGTCATTTGCATTTGTGCAGGTGCTGAAGAAAGTTCTATATTTAAATCTTCTAAATTAGTCCTGCAAATTTATGCATATTATGCTGATTTTTGCTTAACACATCCATTGACATATTCAGAATTCGGTCTTCAATGCACTCATTTCTCCCGTCATTTCTCCATATTACAATTTTCCACTGCGGTTTCCAGTATGAAGAAAGGGTGCCCACCATCTCCCATGTGTAACGTACACGTATGAGCTGGTGTCCCGTAGAATGTCTTCCACAAAAATATCTCTCGCCTTAGGTAGATAGCCCTAATGGGTTTGTCATTATCTATCAAACTAGCCAAACAAACTAGTATGAGGAAAGTGTACCAGAAGATGTTTTTCGTGTATTACAAAGTTATGAGACTTCATGAATGAATGAAAACATGAAATGTTGTTTCCGACAAAAATTATTAAGCATCTTCCAAATAATAAAGCTTCGGGACGTCACGAATTAGACAACACGATTATTAATTCACCACGCAACACCTTTTCTGTTCCACAAACTACTAAACCTTTGACTCAAATTTTATGTTTTCCCAAATTGTCTCAAACAGGGACAAATAATACTGTTCAAGAAAAATAATAAAGATACTACGGATCCGGAAGCCTTCAGACCAATCAACCTCTTACCTGCAAAAGGTAAACTTCTGAAACGTGCAATCGCTAGCAAAATACGCCACCACTTAGAGAAAAACGGTACCATAAGCCCCCAACCATTACAGCTTCAGACATCTCAAATCTACATCACATACGATAGCAGAACTTCAAGAGCAGATCCATAGGAATAAATCTTAAGCTCTCCATACAGCAGTACTCTGTATGAATCTCAAAAAATGCGTTTGACTCCGTGTGGTGGCCTGGTATCCTTGAAGCCTTGCGCAACACTAAATGTTCTCAGAACATATTCAAGCCAATGAATAGTTTCCTAACAAATAAAGCAACAGTTATCATAAGCAACAACTGCATAGTAGAAAGAAGTATAACAAGGTTCTGTCCACAGGGCTCTTGTCTAAGTGCAGACCTATGGAACATCATCTTCAATTATATCACCTCCTACAAATGGCAGGACCATACAAAAATCTCATCGCCTTTGCCGAAGATGTGGCCTTTGTAACAAATGGGCATTCAAGAGACATACTAGAAAAGAACAATAATAGAACTCTCTCCATATTCCATTCTCTCTGCGTCAATCAAAAACTAATAATTTCAGAGCCCAAATCACATATTAGTTTATTTCCAAAACCGGGCAAATCGCTACAAAGGCTACCTTGCATTAAAATCAATAATAGAAGAATCAAAATCTCAAAATAAATAAAATTTCTTGGATGGAAAATTGACCAAACGTTTTCTTGGATCCCACATTTCATGGACATTCAGAAGAAGACCCAAACCATTTCTAGAGCCTTCGCAAGGATGCAAGGCACATCGTGGGGCCTCAAGTCGAGGATGCAAAACATTCTTTATAATACCGTAATCGATAAAATAATCCTCTACCGGTCATCAGCATGGGCTCACCCCATGACAGAGAAAAAGAAAAGACTTAGCTTCGATACAACGCCCCTTCCTCTTACAAATAGCAAAAGCATACATAACTACCTCAACGGCAGCACTCTGTGTATTAATAGGAATCCCACCCCTCCATCTGAGAGCAAAAGAAGATGCAGACTTAGCCACGTTATTCCACCTCAAGAAAAACATAGAGGTAGAAGATCAAGACCTGTACCCCCTTGATTTCAAACAGTCTTGAAATCCTTATCTAAGACACCCCGCAGTACACGCAAAACTCAGAATATCTATAAAAGAAGAAACCCCTCAGTGTACCTACATTTCCAGTAGTGTACACGGATGGGTCAAAGATATACGAAGAAGTACGATGCGCGTTCTTAGCACTCCTCTCGGAGCAAGAAACAACAGAATGGAAAAGATACCTAAGAAACAACAACAGCGTTTTCCCAAGCTGAGCTTTCAGCCATAAAACACGCTATTCTATAGTCTCATCAAAAGCATCAAACATACGTTACCATCTACAGTGATAGCCAAGCGACAACTAAAGCTGTTGATGATGCAAGAAAATAAGTCACTAATAGTACAAGATATCTACGATTTAATATCACAGCACAACAGGACGTCTATAAAAATAAAGTAGGTAAAAGCGCATGCAGGACAAGCCCAAAATGAAAGGGCAGATGCGCTTGCTAAGTATGCAGCTCAAGACCCATCTCTACCTTCAATCAATGTCCCATTGCCCAAATCGTATGCGAAACATATGTTGAAAAAAATAACATTAAAGAAATGGCAAGCTGAATGGGAAAATGCAGAAGTAGGTAGTAGCTTTTTAACTTCTACAAGAAACCCACATATGATCCAATCTCATATAACTTCTTCATCAACATCTTCTTATCTGGACATGGTCCTTTCCCCACGTACTACTTTGCACGAAATTTGAGCGATTCAGACAAGTACGTATGTGGGGAAAAGGGAGACCCAGAGCAAAGAATCTCTAAGGAGCTCTATATTTTCAAGTGCCAGCTCACAAAAGAGCTACACTGCAAAGAAAGGTCACAAATGACGCCCGAGTACATTAAATGCTTACTAACGATCCCTCAATTACAACAAAAGGTTTCCTTGATTATGAAGAAACTTTTCTCATATAAAAGAGAAGACTTATGTCAAGATGTTATCACATCTGTATAAATGCTTCTTTTTCCATAACTTACAAAAATAATGCAAGATGTCAGAAATATTGCAAATGTCTGAAGTAGGCTAAATATGGTATGAATTGTTGGTACTATTTCGTTTTGAGAACCGTAAAAAATTGCAGCGAAAATGTATGCGCAAAAGCTCCAAATCTAGCAAACGCGCCCATTTAAACAGCGCGCCAAATCTAGCGTACGCGCTGATTTCAGATTACGTAAGTTTATATAGTTCTACATTTCTTAAAACGCCATTGAAATACCACTTTAATTTCTAAATCCTTTTTTGATTTTAAATTCTTTTTCAATATCCGATGGATTTAACAATTTGGGAATTGCCCATGACGAAAAGTCGGCAATAGAATTTTGGGTAAAGTGCAGAATCACCCATTGTTTGACGCGTTTGTAAGAATTGCACATACTCGGTATCCACGTGCACATCGATCTATTTTCACTTGAAAAAAATCACAGAATTGCACAAAAATGGCACTGCACACACCCTCGGCTTTATCTATGTACACATCGACCTATTTTCACTTAAAAAGTAAAAGAAAATTGGTAAACTTCGAATTGTTTTTACCGTTGTAAAAAGCGGCAAACAAATAAGTGAGCGATTCTGTACTTTACCGAGAATATTTTCAAAGAAAAGGCATCATTCATTATAGAAATTCATTATTTCATCTCGTTGAACAACCAACGAGATGAAAATTATGCTTTAGCGATAAGTCGGTAGCGAAATAGCGATGCAGGAATCTATTCAGTTATGTTTAGCCAATTTTCTATATAAATTATAATAATGATCTGAAATATTTATTTACTCTTATGCTTTCCATTCAGTTCATATTTAGCCCTTTTTCATATAATTATAATAATAAAAATGTATTATATGAAATGAACCTTTTATCTAAATTAAAACATCAATCTTTGGTAGTTATTTACTATTATACTTCCTTTCTTGCCGCAATTATTTTTGGCAGCATTGGCATCAACAAGTTTGGCGATTTTTTACGGTCCTCGAAACGAATAGTACCGAATTGTTTTTACAAAATAATTGCATTAAGAATTTGGCCTGTATTAGGAGATGAGGGGAAAAAAATCTTGTAATAATTAAATCATTAATTAAAAATAATAATATACGACTTAATTAGATATATTAATGTAAATGCAAGTATTATGTGATTTTCTAATGTATATTTTTTGCTTTTAAGATACATTAATTTACAAAAAAAAAAAAAAAAAAAAAAGTAAGACTTCAGAGCTGATGCAATTGTGTGTAACAAGTTAAAAAATGAAAGAAAATGCATTAACAAGATAATTTGCCTTAGGAATACAACAAAATACTATGAGATGCACAAAAAATTCTTCACCAATTAGTTCCTTAAAAAAGATGTTTAATGTAATTCGATGTAATTAGATATACTAATGTAAATATATTGTTTGTATGAAGTACAAGTACAATGTCCGATGTACAATGAAAGCTTGTATGATGTATGTTCGAAGTAATCATGTTATATTAATCTGCCATAGTCCAACTTTTGTTAATAGGTTAATTTCTTTGTAATAATTGTATATTGTGTCTTTGTAATTGTATATTCAATACGTAAGTCTAGTATTAATGTAAAATTTCTATGTAAATATCCTGTTATGTTATGTTATGTTAGGCCAACCGAAAGCCGGGTAGAGTAGTGCGGCGGAGCAATACCTGTTAAAGTCACTGACGAAGTTCTAGTGCTCCATCCACTTAAAATAAACTAGTCGCATGAAAACTAAATAAATTCATTTAAAAAAATGAATATATTTAATTTTCATGTTTAACTTTACGGAAAGGGTACACTAACGTAAGTAATATTGCATTTATATTTCATTTTAGTACAATTTTACATTAAAAAAAAAAAAAAAAAAAAAAAAAAAAAAAAAAAAAAAAAAAAAAAAAAAAAACCATACCGGATTCAGACATCGCCAAATCTGACGATCTGGCGAAAAATTCGAAGCATAAAAATAAACGAAATATTTACGATACGGTTAAGCTAAACAAAAATTTGAAGGAAAAAGTAACATTTTTCAGATTTTCATAAAATTAGAAATTTGTAATGTAAATTAAATAACGTACAAAAGAAATTAGGGAAGAGGGAAAAAAAAAAAAAAAAAAAAAAAAAAAAATGGTTAAGGGAATTAAAGTTAACGCAAAGCGTAAAACTGCGGATTTCAATTAACTTCCCAGAAAACATTTGCGTTTTAGAACGCCACTGTCGCCGAACTCGAATAAGAATCTAATTGGTTAGTGCCGCGTTGAAGTTTATTTCGCACTGCCCCGTAACCTTTCAATAGTTTGAGTACGACAATCAGTATCGGGATCGATAAAATTACATTTATTTACTCGCATATGCAGATATGTTTAAATATGGAGCTTCACATCTCCATTCCGGTGCTTCTTTCGACTGGAAGTAGTGTTCATATAATGGTTTTTCGTGCACTTTTCTTCCACCGTGGATAATTTCTCCTTTCCCGAAGAAATTGTATGGAAGATGTTTCATCAATAGGTAAGTCCCAATTTTTCAAGTCTATGTTAAGTACAAGAATTATAAAAACTCAACTGACCGTTACAATTTTAGAATTTGTATTCTCGTTACCAAATTTAAAATGCATTCTTTTATTTTTTTAAAATGTAAACATTGTAACAATTTTAAAAGTAAACATTAGCGACTTCATATAAATCATTCTCTTGGCGAGTTTGGCAGAATATTTGGCGACTGCTCCGGTCTCGATAATAGAACACTACCAAAATTTTTCATCTTAAATCATGGAGCCCACCAGTGGCCGAGCGGTAAAGTCGCTGAACACTGGTAGTTCGGTCCGAGGTTCGAATCCCGCGAACAGGCTGGCTGCATGGGCGTTTTCGTGGTTTTCCCCATGTGTAACGTGTATACGAGCCAGTTTCCCTTAGAAAGTCCTCCACGAAAGGCATCCCTCCCCTTAGGCAGATAGCCCTAGTGTGCTTTGCCATAATTAAATACACACACACCACATCTTAAATCATGTTATCATAACCTCGATTTCCTGCATTTAACATTTTTCATCTTAAATCGTGTTATCATAACCTCGATTTCCTGCATTTGAGAATTCCTGCATTTAACGAAATTTTTTTGCTGGGTTCTGTGGCTTCGTTGTTTGACTGTACATAGACTGTAAACAAATGTGACTTCGCCAGTTAGGTATGTGTAAAAAATCCTCCAATAGGGATCATAGAAGTACAATCGTAAAACAACAATTAATGTTTTGTTTTAGCCCAAAGAGGCGTTAGCCCAGAAGGGCTATTGGTTGATCTTTAGAATATAGTAACAGGTAGTTTGGCGACATTTTGGTAAGGTGATAAAGGCCTAGGACTTAAGCAATAATCTGAGAAGTACACAGTTCGAATCACAGATTATTTTGTCTCAGAGAAATGAGAGATCATGAGACATGTAATGTGACATTTTCCGGAAAAATCCGATCGTGATTTTAGCTAGTAAGCACTTAGAAACAATTTCGCTGCTAAAGTGCAGAATCGCCTACTTATTTGTTTGGCGCTTTTTATAAGAGTAAGAAGAATTGGATTTTTGTCAATTTTGTTTGACTTTTTAAGTGAAAATAGGTCGATGTGTACATGGATAAAGTCAAGAGTGTGCGCAGTGCCATTTTTGTGCAATTCTGGGATGTTGTTTTAAGTGAAAATAGGTCGACGTGTGCGTGGATACCGTGTATATGCATTCTTAAAAACGCAGCAAGCAGTGGACGATTCTACACTTTCTCCCAATTTCGCACCTAATCTTCGTCATGATTAAGCACTTTTGTTCCATAAAAGCTCTAGTATAAGCATAATTCGGCTAGCAGATTGTTGGATAAAATATTGAGGGGGGGGGGGAAATGCCTTTACTTCGTAAAAACAAAATGGCGTAAAAAAAAAAAAACCCAAAAAACTAGCAAGTTGCTGTAGCAGGGTTGGTCGCCAAAAAATCGCCAAGTTACCATAATGTGAAGATTCACCGGGCTATTAGTCTCTTAATCTCGAAACGGCATTTTGCGGCCTTCACTAAAAGCCTTGAATCATTTTTCAAATTGTGGCCACCAAATATTATCACCCTGTATTATATTTAAAGAAATAAAATAATGAAAAATATACATGAATATATGCGTGTTTCTCTGATCGTGAGAAAACAACGGTAGCTAGAGCTATCCAATTTTGAATAACGTAGTCCTCCACCTGAACATATGCTTCTGGAAGCCCGAATTTTGAGTTTCGAATTTGTTTTGTTATCTGTTTCATATTTTGTAACACTTTAACGAATTTTGTTTTTTTTTTTTTTTTTGTTTTTTTTTTTTTTTTTTTTTTTTTTTGTTTTTTTTTTTTTTTTTTTTTTTTTTTTTTTTTTTTTTTTTTTTAAGACACTCAAAGACTTCAAAGCGAGCAGTGGCAGCAATGTACAGCAAAATGCATTTTCATCTCTAACGCACAAGATTGAAAGATGTGCTGCTCTCAAATATTTTGGGATTTTGCTTTTCGGTTGAATTTGACGCTGCGTAAGTGTCAAGGAAGTGACATTTAATAAATAAAGCAAACACACAAAATGTGAGTAATGAAAAGAGAAAAAAAAAAAAAAAAAAAAGAAAAATAATGTTTTGTAAAGCCATTTTAGTAAGAAACCTGAGCACTGAATGAACTGAGTAAATTAACATTAACCAAAATGAAGAGAAAAGACTGGGAAAAAAATTAAGGATTTCAGATTTTATGCTATGCCCAAAAGGGCGTTTTTTTTAACGTTTAGTATGTTACCTTTATTTATTAAATATCTTCAAACTTAGCCACATAAAATTCAGTTTAACAGCAATATCACAAAATATTTAAAAGCAGCAAAAGGGCATATCTTTAGAGTTTTCGATACACAGTCTCACGCGCTGGGAATAATTCCCCCCCCCCAGTACAGTGTTGCCACTGTTTACTTTGAAATCATTGAGTTTATTAATAAAAAATTCGTTAAAGTTTTACAAAATTTGAAATAGATAATAAAACAAATTCCAAATTTGTGTTTCCAGATGCCATATTCGAGTGGAGGACTATGTTATTCAAATTTTGATGTCTCTAGCTGCCGTTGTTTTTTCACCGTGCGAGAAACATTCATACATTCGTGCAAATTCTTCATTATTTAGTTTCTTTGAATATAATACATGACGATAATATTTGGTGGCAACAGTTTGAAAAGCAAATCAACGCAGAAAGTGAAACGACGCAAAATGCCGTTTTGAGTCTAAAAGCCTTTTGGGTCTAACACCCTTTTGGGCTAAAATCTGAAAATGTTTATTCCTTGCATTAGGAATTCTAAATGTGTATTTCTATGTTGTTTCTGAAATTTTGAAATTTTGTTGTTGAATTGTTTATGCCGCAAGCGTGAAAAAAAAAAAAAAAAAAAAAAAAAAAAAAAAAAAAAAAAGATGCTTGACCTCGTTCGGGTACCATTTTTTTAAAAATGTTTTTTTATTTTAACTATAAACATATTAATTTGAAGATAAGCATATTAATGAGTGACAACAGTTTAAAACATAACGCTAAGTAATTTTAATTTTGAAAAATAATGAAAAAAAGGTTAATTTTTGCTTAAATTTTGCCTTTACGGCAACAACTACAATGAACAATGTATATATAAATGTGCAGTTTTTTTAATTTGTAATTATGTTTACAATTGTTTTGTATGCAATGAAGCAAAATAATTAAGAAATATTCATATATTCTTGAGATATGTCAAAATGTATACTATTTACTGGATATTTTTCTATTATTGCATCCAAAATCTAAAAATAAAAAGTAACAATTCAACTTCTAATTAATATTTCTAAAATTTTCCGCTTCAGAGCATGCATCAGATTATATGAAACATGTATAGAAAGTATCATTTAATTTTATCCATAAAATCTTGAGTTATGGCTGTTACCATTGGCAATATTTACAGAAAAAACATTTTTCAGAAAACAAGTTTAAAGTTTTCATAAAACAATTTCTTAGTGAAAGAAGCATCCCTGATAATTAAAATTCCCCTGCTTTGTAACTGACACCTTGTTTTTTCTTCACACACTTTGCACTTTTTCTTTCGAGAAAGCGTAATTTTTTCTTTGTGTTTTTGTAAAATTTGTGGAATGCCGCCACAAGTCATGATTTTGCACTTTATCAAGTTATTCCCTGCTCAGTGTAAAATTCGGGACACATACCTAACCTTGAAAACGCTTCAAGAAAACATATAAATCCATCATTAAATAACACAAAATTTACATTTGCTTCAAAGATTAATGTTCTCAAGTTTATGAATGCTTTTTTTGGAACAATTTGCAATAAAATGCCATTAAAACGTTCCTTGATACTTTGAGTTTTGCCATGTATGCACTTTTTTAATAACTTTTGTTTATGTAGTCAGCTCCATATATATAGGTTTAATTAAATTCAAAATATATGCTGATATAACAGAGGTTTTTTTCCCTGATTTCTGCAATCGCACATTCATAGTTGCACCAACTCATTGATTGAGGAGGGCATTGGCTTCGAAGAAGAGCTACGATGGAACAAGCAGCTAGTACAGCCTGTTGCGTCTCAATTAAGTTTCCAACATGACTTCTAATTGCAATTCCTAATTCTGCAGTTTATCAATAAAAGAATCAGTCAGTTTACCATTTCCTTTCAATTCAGGAGCAGAGTTTTTAACTTTTCTTAGTCTACTACCAATCCTTTTCTGTACATGTCCAATGCATAGTTTCTTGGTCGAATACCATATATATCTTTCACAATTAAAAACCCCTTAGAATCCCATCATCGTAATACTCCGTGTACTTCAGCTTTCGTAATGTAAATAGATCATTCAAACAGCGGGTAAGCACCAACTGCTTCCATACCCGAAGCTGCTTCTTTATAATTTGCAGAACAATTATGTTACGCTTTACATATGTTGTGCATAAGACTGCATGCCATTCTGTTTATTTTGTTGCAAATGATGCAAAAATGTGACATAGCTTTCAAATCAAGTAAATGTCAACGCTAATCGACAAAGCAGCAACACATCCATATAACGTCGAATAGCCTCTGCGCCAAACTAAATACGAAATTAAGGGGAAAAAAGTAACGCCAGATTCTTAAAATGTATTACAAAATATCTAAACTTAGTAGTATGCAGGTTTATAATTTACAAAATCTTGTTGAGAAATAAAGTTTCTAAAGAGGTATATCTATTTAAACGCTCACTTCCGGCCCAGAATATTGGAACTTCCGGTTTATTCAGTTGCAGAAAAATGCATATAACTTCAGTTCTAATTAACCTATCAACAAGCAAAAACTTATATTTGATAGCTAAAGATGTATTCTTTAAGATAATGTAATAAAGTAAAAAATCGAAATTTTGACCAAATTCGTCTTTTGTACGAGATCGGATACGTTAATAATAAAGCTAAAAAGACAAAGAAATGGCTAGCAGTGAGTGTAAAAGGAAACTGGTAGACTGCGAGCTGAGCGAGAGGGTAGAAACCTTAACAAACCCATTTGGTCGACCGTTAAAAATCAGAAACCTTTCAGATTTTTTTATTGATATTTTCGTTAGATTTTGTGCAATAAATAATTCAGCAAAATCAATTTAACCAAATTTCAAATAATTAAAGTATATTTTTAATAATGTCAGATTAATTACTAAATATATTTTCGAGTAAAGGCAGGCAAATGAAAATATCATATTAAGGTATATTTTTATGCATTTGAAACGTACTTACATTTTGACATCGTTGAATCATACACTGAGCTTGACTTGGGGTCATGTTTCTTGGAAATGCAGTCTGGAAAAATAAATAATGCGATCATTAATTTTACTTTTTCTTTATTAATAATTATTCAAGCACAATTTTTAATTCTTTTCAATTTCAAGACTTCATATTATGAGGGTATTCAAAAAATATTTTCAGTATGTTTTTTGTCATATTTAACTACTGCAAATTTGGAAAGTGTTTATTATAACTGTTGTGATCCTGTTCTCCTCGAAGGCATTCCTTCCTTTAAGCAGATAGCCTCCCGAGAACTTTGCCAAACTTAAATAAATCGAACCTTCAAAGTAATGAGACTTATTCGATTTGAAGTAAACTGCAGTTGAAGAGCGAACAGATATTGCATGTAAGACAACTCAGCTATGAAGAACAAAAGATGAACATTTTGCAAAAGCAGAAAAAGAGAACTGCAGTCTTACAATGTATTGTGTGTGTGTGTATTTGATAACATTTTTAGTACTATTCCGTTTTGAGGACCGTAAAAAATCGCCAAATTATTGTTGATGCCAGTGCTGCCAAAAATAATTGCGGCAACCCTAACGTAAGAAAAAAAGTATAATAGTAAAAAAAAAAAAAAAAAAAAAAAAAAAAAAAAAAAAAAAAAATCTGAAATGTTTCAGATTTTAAATTACGTCCAAAGGGGCGTTTTTTAACATTTTGTGTGTTACCTTTCTTTATTAAATATCATGTTCCTCGCACTTAAACCATAAGATCCAGTGCAACAGCAATATCGCAAAATAGTTTTAAAACGAGCATATCTTTAGAATTTCCGATACAGAGACTCACGCGCTGGAGATAAAAATGTTTTTTCTGCACAACGTTGCCATTGCTCGCTTTGAAATCCTTGAGTTTGTTAATCAAAAATTCGTCAAAGTTTTAAAAAATAGGAAATCGATCATAAAACAAATTTCAAATTTCAAATTGGGTCTTCCACATGCTCATATTCGTTGGAGGATTAATTTATTCAAAATTCGATGACTCTATGTACCTTTATTTTATGACAATGTGAGAAATATACATACATTTACGCAGATTTTTCATTATTTAATTTCTTCAAATATAATGCAGGACTCAAACATTTTGTGGCAACAGTTTGAAAAGTGAACCGACATTTATGAGTCCGACGCAAAATGCCAAAACGAAACTAATAGTCCTTCGGGATTCAAATCCCTTTGGACTAATAACTATTTAAAGATTAATGTTTTAATTTGTATGAAAGGTTAATTTCATATAATACTTTTTTATTATTATAATTTATATAAAAAAAGGTAAACATAACTGAATGGATTCCTGCATCGCTATTTGGTTACCGAGTTATCGCTAAAGCATAATTTCATCTCGTTGGTTGTTCAAACATACTTTACTATAATAAATGATGCCTTTGAAAAAATTCTGTTGCCGACTTTTCGTCACGGGCAATTCCTAAATTGTTAAATCCATAAGATATCCAAAAGGATTTAAAAATTAAATTAGTATTTCAATGGCGTCTTAAGAAATATAGAACTATGTAAACTTACGCAACTTGAAATCAGCGCGTACGCTAGATTTGGCGCGCTGTTAAATGGGCGCGTTTGCTAGATTTGGTGTTTTTGCGCATACATTTTCGCTGCAATTTTTTACGGTCCTCAAAACGGAATAGTACCACATTTTTTTTTTATGATATTTAAATTGATAAGTGACTGTTGAGGTATCATGACGTTCTTCAAATTCATGAAAGTACAGTTTTTTACATAATTTTGGCGGTTTCTCGCGGAGGCCGTGGAAATCAAGTAGCACCCATTTTTATTTCCTTGTACGAAGTAAAAAGGAAGTATTGTAATCGCGAAAAGTTTCAGGCAGCATATTTCAACGAAAATATCCATTTTGACCGCTATCGAATGCAATTTAACGATGTTTTTGCGTAATATCTGTACGCAAGGACAGAATAAAAGACTCATTTCCTCCAAAAAAATTATAAAACTGCTTTAAAATGAATTCTGAAGAGAATTTTTCGTGGCGTCTGTTCGAACGTATGTATGTATGTGCGTATCTCGCATAACTCAAAAACGAGTAGCCTCAAAACGTTGAAATTTTGTATATAAGACTGCTATAACATGTAGATGTGCACCTCGTATTTTGGTTGCAATCGGTCGCACCAAACGTATATAATTATATTTATATATATATCCACTCTGTTATCCGGCTCAGTGATCTCAGTTTCTTTACTCTTATATGTTTGTAAATTGCACATTTTTTGCTTTAAAAATGACTAAATTATGTTGTTCTTATCTTGCGGTTAAGGTTTTTATGCCTTTCGTAATTCTGGAAGCAATATTTGTACAATTATCAATTTCGTTTTGGCATTTTGCGTTGATTCATTATAAACGGGAATCACTTTTCAAATTGTTGCCACCAGATATTAGAGCCCTGTATTATATTTAAAGAAATTAAATAATCTGCATAAATGTATATATGTTTCTCGCATTGTAGTACGATCAGTGTTGATTTTCGGCGTGAAAACAGTCTTTCATACAACTTTGGCAATATTCAATATAATTCGAGGTCAGATTTTGATAGCAAACACTCGAATGCACATCTTTGGTGGCAAGGTCTCAACCTCGCAAAATCATTTGACACAGTTTTAATTTATCGTGAATGTGATTTTTTATAAGTTTTTATTCAGTTCACTAATGGTGTTTCACTAAAGCTGGAATTTTGCCATCGATTTTTAACCTACTTCCTGATAAGATATCGAGTTTAAATTTTGTACACAAACTGTTGGTTGATGACAGTTCTATGTGGTAAAAGGAAGTTTTCAAAATTTGAATTTAGATGTTCTTTTTATTGACTTTAAACAATTTTTCGCACGTATTTTCGTTTAACAAACAAACTAAAAATATCAGAATTTTACTGTTTGCACCATCGAAAACAGAGAGGAAAAAAAAAAAAAAAAAAATCTTTTCACCGACACTTGTATGATAATTTTAACCAATTTTTGAATTTTTGGCGATTTTTTGGATAATTTGATGTTTATGATTATAAAACTTCGACATCCAAATTGACTTGCAATTTTTGCAATTTTCACAGGTTATGAAACAAACTTTTCGCCATGTTTTAAAAGAAGAATGATAAAAGAATGTTAATTGAGTGGTTTTCTACATTTAAAAAAAGAAATGTGTTGCTATCTAAAGCAGGCGAGGAAAAAGCATTTCTCGCTGAAAAATTACTTTTGAGTTTGCCATTTTGGCGTGTTTAGTGACGAATCGGTGATATTTTTTTTGTTGTAGCATCAAGTAAAATGCACTTTATAAAACTGTTATTGCATCCAATTTCCGAAACTGAATATACAAAGCGATTTCTTCTTGCTTTGAATGGCGTTCGTTTATTTTGGTACTGTGTTGTTATCGAGACCATATTCAGATATCGCCAAAAGCTAATGATTTTGGGAAAAAGCCTAAAAAATAAAATCCCAAATATTTGCGATACGGTTAAGTTGACAAAAAGGTCCAAGGAAAAATAACATAACATATATTCGTAAAATTCGAACAAGTAACTGCTACATTTTAGAATCTATATTCTAGTTGCCAATTATGAAAATGTATATTATTTTACTTTTCTTTTTAAAAGTTTGTAATATAACGATTTTTAGAATAAACATTGGCGACTATGAATCAATCTTTTGGCGAGTTTAGCGAAACGTATGGCGACGACTTCGGTCTCTGATAATAGAACAATACCATTATTTTTCTTTATTTCAAAATTTTCGTATAATTTATTGTTTGTGTTTTAATAATGAATAAAAATTTTATCATTGATAGCATATAATTGTGACTAAAATAACAGGAAAAGAATGATAAATAAAATAAATTAAAAATGGTTTTATACAATAAGTTCTTATTTAAAATGAAAATGAAAATGATAATTAATGCACACATCGCTGGGTGCAAAAATAATTTATCGTATATAGTATAATATTATACGTATATAATATTTATCGTATATAGTATAATAATCGTATATAGTATAATGCGAAAAATAGACTAAATAATTGGGCGCGTAGTCTAAATAACAAAATCTACTAATTTAATTGCATTGTCAAATGTATAAGCCATTATCTTAAAAATTTCTTATTAAAATTTATCATAGACGCCCACCATTTTATTACTGGCGATATAGAATTATAGATTAATTCTGAAAATAGAATAATTTAATCTATTATTTCCTTTAACTATATGATAAATTATTTTTCCCCTTTCGGTGCGTTGATTATTATGTCTATTTTAAATTATGTCCATATATATATATGTCCATATGATTATTATGTCCATTTTTAAATTTATTTTATAAAAAAAACTTTTTTTTAGTTGAATATTATTGCATAATGAAAGCAGTAAATGAACTCGGTTTCAAGTTGTTAGAAAAGCATATTTTTTCCTGATTGTTTTCCATTAAAAGTAAATTTAAATCTGAAGTATACTGCGAAAAGTTTTGCCATGTTTTTTAATACAGAGAAATTATATTAAGTGACCAATCTTTCGATCATTTGAGTTGCACCGTCGTACAGAAATTAGCCATGGCCCTCGTTAAAGACTTTAATATTTATTTATTTACAACCATGATATACCTATGCTATTAAATTGCATAATAAGACTGTATTTATTTTTTAATAAAAAATATATTTATTAGGGAAAATATAAACACTGTTTATTAAACACATTCAGGCTGTATTTTGATTACTAAAGCACTTGCATGTATTGTGTATTGTGTAACTAGACATAATAATATGAATAGCATAAGAATGTTTCAGTTCAGTATGAAATTTTTTTGGAAATGAATATCTTGAAAATGTATTTTGCAGTATTATCACGTCTGTGTGTATTGTATGCTACATATGGAAATATTTTTATCTATTATCCTGCAACATTAGATTCACCAGTTTTTGCACTCGACAATGCTAAAGAATTTTTTCCATATAAATGAGTGTAATTCTTTCTTCTTTTTGATCCAACTAAAACTGTAACGTGTATACGATCCAGTAAAAATGGCTCGTATACACGTTACTCATGGCGGAAAACCACTAAAAGGCTCATGCAGCCTGCCCGTTCGCCGGGATTCGAGCGCTGGATCGAACTACCAGTATTCTGCGACTTTACCGCTCGACAACTGGTTAGGTGATTACGGCAAAGCCTCGAGGACTATCTGTCTAAGAGGAGGGATGTCTTCGTGGTGAATTTTCTGATGGAAACAGGCTCGTATACACATTACACATGGGTAAAACGCGAAAACACCCATGCAGCGAGCTCATTCGCAGGATTCGAGCCTCAAGGCCGAACTACTAGTGTTCAGCGACTTTACCGCTCGGCTACTGGTGGGCCTCTTAACCGATGTTGAGGACTTGTTAGGAAAAGTACAGTGGATACAAAAAGTATTTGCACACATACATTTTTGTTCACAATTTATAAGAAAATGCATTAATAAATACAAAAATTGGCATTTAAAAAATAGAATAAGCCTATTCATTTAAATTAATTACAAAAAATACAATAATATTAATAAAAAACAATTTTTGCAACAATATTAAAATAGCTTATGTCAAAAAAAGTATTTGCACACTCAACTCAACTCTAGCAAATTTGCATTTTATGCTATTATTTGACAGTCATCCCGCAGTAAATAATATATGTAAGACGACTATGAAAGGAGGTGTTGTCGAAACGTTATCAGTTGATTGCCGATTCAAATTGTAATGACACCTAAGAAATCTGAATTGTCGATTACATTGCGAGAAAAATTTTTTTTTCTCTACGTGAAAATGGCCTAAGTTATCGAAAGAAATAGGTAAAAAAAGTAAATGTTTGCTTCTCTACTGTTTGGTATGTTATAAAGAAAGAGGATCTACATCAAATAACTTGCGCTCTGGACGCCCAAAGAAACTTTCACTGCGAATGAAGCGAAAAATCATAAGAGAAGCATAAAAAAGTCCATTTGTTTGTGCAATTACTTTAGCCAATGATGTCGCTTCAACATCTGGAGTTCAAATCTGTGCCCAAAGTGTTCGAAATGTCCTGCACGATGCACACATTTATGGGAGATCACCAAGGAAAAAACCTCTCCTAATTGAACGAAACAGACTGAAGAGACTTGAATTCGCTAAGGAATATATCAATAAGCCAATCGATTTCTGGAAAAATGTCATATTCTCCGACGAGAGTGAGTTCAATATCTTTAAATCAGATGGTAGAAAATTAGTTTGGAGAAAACCTTGTGCTGCTTTTCATACCAAAAATGTGTTACCTACAGTTAAACATGGAGGAGGTTCTGTTATGATTTGGGGGTGCATGGCTAGCAAAGGAATTGGTAATTTGTGTTTCATTGATGGGAATATGACAGCTCGAACCTATATTGATGTTGTTGCGAGATAACTTGCCACAAAGTGCAATAAAATTGGGGTATCAGTAATTCGTACTATTTTCAGCAAGACAATGATCCCAAGCACACCTGCCGGTATAACTCGTATGTGGTTGCTTTATAATGTAACCCAGAAAACTTGCCCGCTCCACCCACAATCACCAGACTTAAATCCTTTGGACGGAAAATCTGTGGAATTCTTTGGATTTAAAAATAAGTAAAAAGGAAGATTTCAAGCAAATCTGCCCTTAAACAAGCCCTTATTGAAGAGTGGTGACCCGAATACTGAGCCTACTGTTACAGAAAAAATTTAACTAAATTCAATGCCAGCAGCAAGATTACAAGCAGTAATAGATGCTAAAGGCATGCATACTAAATATTAGTTATTTTGAAATTTGCTTAATATTTTATTTCTTTTGTATTCATGCAGGTATGCAAATACTTTTTTGGTACGAGATATTTTAATTTTGTTACAAAAAACCATTGTTATTTATATTATTGTAATTTTTCTGTTTGTTTTGGATGATTAAACTTATTCTGATTTGGCAATACCAATTTTTTTATTTCTTAATGCTTCTTTTTGTGAATTGCAAACAAAAATTAGGTGTGCAAATACTTTTTTTACCCACTGTAGCTTCTCTCACGTAAACCAAGAGTAAATGTCTGTCACGTGAATCAGGAGTAAATGAGGAAAAATGTCTATACAGCGATTCCATTCGCCAAGGATGCCATTTTGTCTTCGAAATGGTTCAACGAAAAAGTGACAAAATTTTCTATTTGGAGAGAATTTTATGTATTAAAACTATTATCTTGGTTTATCTATTATCTATGCTATCAATGCACATTCACCCCAACTATTATCATGATTTATATGATGTCGGCATATTTTAATAAATACGTAATAGAAAAAGAATTTAAAATATACGGCTAGAAAATAAATAAGTAGATATATGAAAAATAATACTTACATTGCCGAAACAGCTGAAGGACTGGAAAAGAAAAGAAATGCAATATTAAATTACAAATCAATACTTGAATGAAAACATATACACACATACAGAGACTGCATAATTACATCTGCATCTAGAGTAATTAATATTTTAATACAGTTTAGGCCTTCTTTCGGAAATGTAAAGTTCAGCAAATTTTTTGGAAATGATTGATACAAATCTTTTACAGTCATTAAAGATGTTTAACCATTCTTCATGCAAAACTTTGCAATGGCTGTTTTGTATAATGATGATAAAGGAGGAATTTTTTTTTTCAAATGTATCCCCTAGCTTAATCAGAGAAGTTCAACGGTAATAAGATCAAGGAATTGTGAAGAATAGGAGAGTTCTAGTTCATTTCTATCAAGCTATTCTGTTACATTTTGCTGTGTGAAATGGTACACGTTTATGACACGTGCATCGGAACCCGGGGCTTTAACTGGTGGATTTGTTTGTTCATCTAAAATACGATAATCCATGACATTAATGTACTACCATGATGTACCATCAATAGCAACCAATGCTTCCAGGGTGGATTTGTTTGTTTATCTAAAACACGATAATCCGTGACATTGATGTACTACCATGATGTACCATCAATAGCAACCAATGCTTCCAGGGTGGATTTGTTTGTTTATCTAAAACACGATTATCCGTGACATTGATGTACTACCATGATGTACCATCAATAGCAACCAATGCTTCCAGGGTGGATTTGTTTGTTTATCTAAAACACGATAATCCGTGACATTGATGTACTACCATGATGTACCATCAATAGCAACCAATGCTTCCAGGGACTTATTGGATACTGTGGACAAAATTGTCACAAGCCTATCTTTCATCAAACTATCAAATAATTCCATCTTCATCAAGCCATCAAATCACACATCCATCAAACTGTCACAAGTCCATCCTCGCTTTAGGAATGAGAAATGTTTGGATCGCAGGTCTCCGAAGGAGTTCTCCAGACACATGTCCTTTTACAAGTGGGAAAGCCTACCTTGCCTTCTAAAAATACCCTGCCTTTCTAAATAAAGGATAGCCCAAAAGTCCGTTAACATTCGAAAATTCAATAAATCATGGAATAATGTAGGTAGAGAGGTAAAAATTGACACACATGCTTGAAAAGACATGGAGGTTCATTGAAAGGAAAAACAAAGGCAAAAAAAAAAAAAAAAAAAAAAAAAAAAAAAAATGGCCGCTGGGTAGAAAATATCAGGACGCCACTTAAGCTGTAGTGTAATGAGCTGTAGTGAGAGAGAGAATCAGTCCCAATACGCAGAGACGAGGACTGTCCTCGCCTCTGGGTGTTGTTGGTCACAGTGTGATGTGGATTTGTCACATCAATCGCGATTGGACATTGGTTTGTTATCATGTGAAGCGCCATCTGTTGGCCGTTTCAAGCACTTTTTCTTTTTGCTTTCAATAAAAGCCCAACATTTCAAGCATGAGTGTCAGCTTTTATCTCTCTACCTGGTTTAGTTTTTATCTCATTCAATGAATTATTAAATTTTCAAATGCTAACGTACTTTTATGCAGGTCACCCCGTATATCAAAAAGTCGTGTTCTTTTGATTGCAGACCATCTGTGCTCGAGTTCCAATATATTTCCCAATTACGTTATGTATTTCTCAGTAGTAGTCGAGGTTAATGTATGCAATACAGCTGAAAATTCAAACTTCACAAATAACTGTAACAAATGCATACACCAGTAGAGCAGCAATAACACAGTATTAGTAAAGTCTACGTGACATGTATATAAATGGACAGGTGTAGCGAGAAAGCTGACATAAAATAGTTGGAGTTTTTTTGTCTCCAGCGCCGAGTATATCACTTTCAAAATGGGCCATTGAAAATGTTCCGCCCTGTAGAACGTAATAATGGATTTTCAACTAAATGGGGTTTGTTAGCTTGCTTGGCTCTAGTGTAGAATTGGGTGCCCCTTCGATTAGCGACAATTTTTTTGTAAAATTTTGGCGATGAAATCTCATTTCTGGTTACCATGATAGTGTAACTTTGCTTTAGCGTCCTGATTTTTTTAAAAATAAAAACAGATTGCTGTGTACATGGACAAATTTAGAGCAGTGCGCAATGCCTAGTTTGTGCAATTCTGGGAAGGTTTTTAAGTGAAAACGGATCGATGTGTACATGGATACAGAGTTTATGCAATTCTTTGACTTTTTATTTTGGTTTTGTGTAGCGGCCATGTTGAAATTGTGTCTTCCTGGCGCCGATCTTGGCGTCAAAAAAGAATCGCCAAAAAACAAGGGACACCCAATTGTAAACTTTTACCGCTTGCTTGATTAAATGTTACGTATGCTAGGATTATCTACGTAGTTTTGTGTCATTTATCACATAGACTTCCTTCGCACTAGAATAAATTAAAAACTAAGAACACTAATTTCAGGAAGGCAGCTAAAAATTACTGAAAATATTGTAGCCTATCTGTTTAAACGAGACCAGCAAACGTCAGTGAATAAACATTTTAATAAACAGTAAGTGTTTTTGAAATTTCTGTATAACAATGCACAGTTTTATTAGCTCAAAGGCCGTTAGCCCAGAAGAGGTATTAATTTCGTTCTGGCATTTTGCGTTGAAAACTTTAAATATCCATTTTACTTTTCAAATTGTTGCCACCAAATATTAGAACTCTGCATTATATTTAAAGAAATTAAATAATGAAGAATATGGCATGAATATATGTATGTTTCTCGCATCGTGAGAAAGTAACGGTGCCTAGAGGCTCAAATTTCGAATAACGTAATCCACCACTCTAATATGTGCATCTGGAAGCCCAAATTTAGAATCTGGAATTTGTTTTATTATCTGCTCCATATTTTATAAATCTGTAACCAATTCTGAGTAACAAATTAAACGTTTTCAAAGCGAGCAATGGCAACACTGTACGGGGGAGAAAACACATTTTTATCTCCAGGGCGTGAGACTGTGTATTGGAAATTCTAAAGATATGCTGTTTTTAAATATTTTGTGATATTGCTATTGAATTGAATTTTACAGTTTAAGTGCGAAGTACATGATATTTAATAAATAAAGGCAACACGCAGAATGTTAAAAAAACGCCCCTTTGGGCGTAATGTAAAATCCGAAAGCTTTCAGATTTTTTTATGTATTTATGTATTTATTTTTTTAAAGCGTTCCGATTTTTGTAATTAAATCGTATTTTTTTTTGGTACTTTTCCGTTTCGCCGGCGCAAATCTCGCCAAGTAGACTTTATTAGCGAAAACACACAGTATACACATAAAAAGTGTTGACAAATGTTAGTTCTAAGAATTTTTTATTTTGAAGGCATAGACATTTTAATGTCGTTTAAAATTTTGTAAAAAAGCCAAATAAATAAAGACAATAAATTTTTAAAAAGATATTAATTTAAGAATTTACTATGCTTTCATCATACAACATCCTGATTCGCCGGTTCCTATCACGTGACCCCAAGTAATCTCATCTCACGTAAACTACGCTACAAAAGTCTAATTCTCTCAGTAATTATCTATATTAATTTCAAGTTAAATCTTAATTTGGAATACAAGTGCAAGAATAATTCCAATTCATACAAATAACTTACTCAGAAATTATGTAAAACCGTAGTGCTTTACTTTGCTAGTGCATTCTCATTAGAATTGATGAAGTTAACCCTTGACTTTGCCTTTTCTATATTTTCGCCATCGGGTGAGCGGTGTGATTGAATCCTAATTGACTTAATTACCGCCCGCGAATGGTCTTAGGGCATACAATCGAATTATCTGGGTAAAAATTCTGTGTAATTGTATGCCAGTATTGAAAGAAACAATCAATCTGATAAGAAATGGCTGCGACTTGTTTTGAAAGTGTAAAAGTAAAAGTAAAAGGTTACCAGCGAGGATATTTCGTTTGCATCGGTTGTACCATTACTGGCGACTTTATCGCTTGCGCCGGCCAAACGGAAAAGTACCTTTTTTTTAATATGGCGATATTAATAAACTGACATACTACACTTCTACTTCAGCATATTTCTTTAGCTGACTTCAGTAGATTTTTAATAAGATACAATCATTATGCAGATCGATAATCGCCATCAATGATTGTCAGCTTCTCCAAGATAACCACCTCCACAAAATACAAAAATTGTTCAGAACTGTTAGCGGGCTTCTTAAGGAAGTCCTACTCCATTTGAAAATGCGCTTTAATAGGTGATTAGAGTCCACAGATTTGTTTTTGTGATATCTTCACAAATTTTTGCATGCAGAAGTATGGAGCTTTTGTGTTTAATTTAAGACATTGCGAATATTTTTATATGTAGTCTTGTTGCAAAAGGAAGACTGTAAAATTACTTCTTATTTTCAAAACAGCTTTATCTCCAGGGCTGAGGTTGTTCTAATAAAACTTATCTAGCTTATTTATGCGGAACTTTGTGATTCAAAATACCTATCAAGATTCAATATTTAAGAACTTGGATTTGTAGCCATTTTATTCGAATAACATGTGAGTATGCCGAGTCAAATATATGAAGTGTTAAAATATTCTAATTACGTCTTGATCTCCTTGCCTGAAGTTTGTCATACTTTAAAGAAATGGTAGCAAAACATTACAAAGTTCAAAGAAGGTATTCCTGTATTTGCGCAGACGATTCTCGGCATTTTGTGTAAAATATTTATCAGCAACAGGCTATTGGAAAACCGCAATTGGCAATTCTCTCTCCTTTTCTTTTTCTTTTTTTTTTTTTTTTTTTTATTATTTTTTGTTTTCGTGTGTGTGTATGTGAAGTTTTCAGTGGTTCACATGCTTGTAATTACTAAAAAAATGTGCATACAATGAAAAAATGTGTATTACTGCTGATTGCATGGAAATGAATCTTGGAGTGGAGTATTTTTGCTAGTAATAGGGCAGAAGGTAAATATTTTAAGGCCTTTTACAGACGGAGGCATTGCATTATAGCGACATGAAAGATCGTAATCCGAGTAGCCTCTGCAAACGATATATTAACACGCGAAAAGTATGTTACATATCATAAACGTTGTTGCTTGAGATCTGCCAAGAGAAAAAAAAGTGCTCAAAATCATTTTAGTGCTAATCTGTTTACGATCTCACAGCACCCATGATTTTTGTCAAAAAAATTTATTTTACCTATTCTTATAAAAAAGATCATCCCCTTTCGAGAATCAATTTCTAATACACCGCACTCTGTTTTATCCAAATATCTCTTTTTCGTAAATTTTTTTAAATCGTTACATGTTTTTAGAGCACCCCGTATTTAATATAAACTGTGTATATATGCAACTCTACCATTTCCTGACAAATCACAAGCAGCTGAAGTTGAGACTATAAAAAATATCTTGCATTGTGCGTTTTAAAAAATTATGTATTATGTTGTCTAATTCTGCGGTTAACTCGGAAATTTATTAGAAAGGCTGTTTAATGACTGTTATCAGACCACGATTAGCGCGATCCTGTTTGGCACTCTGCCAGAATGCTTAAACCAGTCTTTTTAGAAGTGCCAATTATAAAAGAACATATATGAAGGCTAGCGTGAAAATTCAAAGGTTAATTAAACAACCAGTCTTGGTCAAATTACATATATTTTGTTAACAGCCCTCTAATATCAAACTTCTTGAATTTTTTCACACACTCGATATCTTTGTTGTTGTAACTAATACTGACTTGTCTGACCTATAGTCAGTCCAAGCTCATGAAATTCCTCGCGGCAAAGAGCGGAAGATTACACATGTCGTTGGCAACAGCTTTGAGCACCTTACAGGTGGCAGTGCGATTCAGTTCAGTTTCGTCCCCCCAATTTTGACAGAGAAGGACAGGATCCGAGGACAGGATCCTGGAGGACAGGATCCGAGGGTCTCTCTCCCTATCACAAACCTCTCGTGGGGACTTTAGAGTCCCGCATATTTAGAGTGCCCCCACGCCGCACGGACACTATATACACTCATGTCCATAAATTAAGGATAATTCGGAGTCACGCGGAAATCGAACTCTAAAATAAATATATCACCTGTCAAAACACTACACACATCTTCAAGAATCATATGCAAATTTCAAGAAATAACCAGATGACACCGATGGTACGTCACAATGACGAGAGTGTAAGAGAGTGATATATAAGGAATGCAGGCAAAGAAGTAAAATTGTTCGCAGGCGCTTTATAAGCATTTCAGTGCAATAACCGAATAGTTATGACACAAAGGACGCATTTGGATGATTTTTTACGTGGTAGAATTATCGGCCGTCTGGAATGTGGGCGTACCCAACTGGAAGTATCAGACGAACTTGGAATTGCCACAGTGTCATCTCCAGGCTTTGGCAACGATTCCAAGATGATGGTAATGGGAGTAGACGTTACAGCACAGGTCGCCCCATTGTTACAAATTCCGAATGAAGACCGGTATTTGGCAGTTACTGCCAAAAAAACAAACAGGCGGAGCACAGCCTCAGACATGTCTCGTCAGCTCTCTTCAGCCACTGGTACGACAATTTAGAGGCAGACCGTGTACAGACGCTTATTGCAGATTGATCTATATGCTCGTAGACCTGTCAGATGCTTTCCAATTACTGCAACTCACTGACGCCTGCGGTTAGCCTGGAGCAGAGAGCATGCATTGTGGACACCGCAGCAGTGGGCTTGTGTGATGTTTTCCGACGAGTCCAGGTTTAGCTTGCAGTTTGATTCTCGCCGGACTTTCATATGGAGAGCTCCAGGTAGCCGTTACCACCAAGAAAACATCATTGAACGACACCGTTATGGTGGTGCAGGAGTGCTCGTTTGGGGGGGAATTATTCTGGGTTCCAGAACTGACCTGCATGTTCAAATTGGAACCATGACAAGTCAAATCTATCGGGACGTCATTCTAGAACAGCATGTACGTTTGTTTCGGGCCGCATTGGGCGCACAATTTGTGTTTATGGATGACAACGCCTGCCCTCACCGTGCAAACAGCGTAAGCGAATGCCTTCAATCGTAGGATATCACCCGTATGGACTGGCCAGCATTCTCACCGGACTTGAATCCAGTAGAGCACGTGTGGGATATGCTTGGCCGACGAGTTGCAGCCCGTCAATCTCCTCCTACATGTCTACCGGAACTTCGGAGAGCATTGCTTTTTGAGTGGTGTAATATCTGTCAAGATCAGATCGATAATTTGATACTCAGCATGCCTAGGCGTTGTACGGACTGTATTGCATCGTCCTAGAGACATACAATGTATTAACAATCATACCAACCATGTAATATTGGTTTTTTGTAAATAGGTTTTTTTGTAATTTGCTCCAGGGAGAAAAAATCGCTAATTTTTTTAATAATATCAAACGTATAGCATCTTTTTTTGCTCTTTACCTTTTGTTTAATAAATAAGCTTTACAAATAAGTCAAATTTGTTTTGCTTCTAACTCTTCCTTTGTCTGATTTTGCATTATCCTTAATTTATGGACATGAGTGTATTTACAAACATCCATTCCATCACTGGGATTCGAACTCGGGCCTTTCGGGTCTGTAGTCAGCTACGCTACCTACTATACTGATCAGGTGGCTCGATATCTTTAATCTCAGTGAAGTAAATTAGCTTTAGATCATGCATACATGTTTATGCTCATAATCCTGCTGACCGTAATTGAATAATAATTGAGATAAATAAAAGCTGTATGCAAGTTTCGTTTTTAGAATATTACTCATTTTTAAGAAATTAGGATATAGTTATAATAGCCTATGACGAAGCTTTGTGTGACTTGCCATATCGATGTTTTAAAGTTACTTGCGATTTCCCAAATTATGTCTTGAATGGCTCAAGCAGGTTATAAAGAAGGAATTATGAGACATAATTTATGCTTTTAGTTAAGCCACACATCTTTATTAGCTATTACGCAATACCTTTTTATCCCCTAATATCAGACTTCTTGAATTTTTTCACACCCTCGATATCTTTGTTGTTGTAATTAATACTGACTTGTCTGACCTATAGTCAGTCCAAGCTCACGAAATTCCTCATGGCAAAGAGCGCAAGATTACATCTGTCGTTGGCAACAGCCTTGAGCACCTTTCAGGTGACAATGCGATTCAGTTCAGTTCCGCCCCCAATTTTGACAGAGAACACCTGGAGGCCAGGATCCGAGGGTCTCTCTCCCTATCATGAACCTCTCGTGGTGACTTTAGGGTCCCGCATATCCCACATCCCCTATATTACAAAATGCAATTGAATGTTGAACACAGACTATTTCAACATACACTGGATAGCCAAAACATTATGACCACCTGCTCAATAGAGCCTTGCGCGAACTTTGGCTCGCAAAACAGCTACAACTCGCCTTGACATGGATGCCAGAAGTTCTTGGTAAATGACTGGAGACAAGTTGTACCAAATGTCTAAGCAGCGGTCACACGAAGTCCAGATATTCCGACACGGTGCTGGTTGAGGCTGCCGCTCCATGATATCCCAAAGGTGCTCTATCGGGTTAAGATCCGGCATGTTAGGTGGCTAGGACATTAATTGGAATTCATCTTTATGGTTCTGGAACCACTCTAACACAATTCGAACCTTGTCATGTGGGCGTGTTCCTGCTGAAAAATTCCGTTTCCAGTTGCGAAGACAGTTGATGTAAGGATGCAATTAATGCGCATTTATTTTCAGATTCTCCATAGCGTTCGTTGACTATTCTAACACAACTAAGAGTTCCAGAGTAACCCACGAGAACGTCCCTAAAAACTTAATACCGGCACCACCAACCTGTGTATGACCAGTTGTATAGAGGAGTGGGAGTAACTGTTTGTCTGGAAGACGGTGTACCTTGACAAAATTATTGACCTCATGAATGAGAAATCGTTATTCATCAGACCAGGCAACTGTCTTCCGCTTATTCATGGTTCCAGTCTCGATGTTCCCGGGCTCATTATAAACGTAATTTACAATGACACTTGGTCAACAGAGACATGCTCGTATGTCTCTGTTGTATGTCCCATATCCAACAGTGTCCGCTGAACTGTGTGTTCCGAAAGACTTGCACTTGGATCTGCATTGTATGGGCTTCCTGGGGCTGAATTTGCTATACCAAGCGGGACATGCTCCAACGTCCTTTTTCTTTGATAACTTGTGGACGTCCAATGTCTTCGCGTCTAGTTTCACCGTCATTTATCCACTTTGTATAAATACAACAACAGCAGATCGCAAGCAACTTGCCAGCCATGCAGTTTCGGGGATACTCGTTCCGAGACTTCGTGCCATTACTATCTGCCCCTCTCTCAAGTTCGCTTTTATCAGCAGATTTTTCCATCACTCGAAAAAGTAAATGCAAGAATGACTTCTTAACCCACTCCAAGTGTCTCGCTGTATGCCGTGATTAGCACGGCTTATTGCTGTGTTTTATTATTTTATTGCTGTGTTTTTATTTATTTACTGCTGTGTTCCTGCTGTCATAACGTCTTGGGCCTTAGACAAGAGCTTCAACAGTAGGTCCAGAAGGAGAGGATAGTATGATTTCTTACCTTCTCCAGCAGCAGTTAAATACTTTTCCAACTTAATCATGTACCCTTCACGTCATCCAAACGAGTTCATTGGAAAGAAAATGGGGGGGGGGATGATCATAATGTTTTGGCTCTTCAGTGTAATCTGGCATAAGCAGTTAAATATTTAAATTCATCTAATAACTATGATACTTACATATCCTTGTAGCGCAAGAAAGGGGCAGTTGACACACTGGCTCTGCAAGAAAAAAGAAGGCGCTATATCATTGAAATTATTGGATAATTTACTCAAAAGCAATTCTTTTCCTATAAAAATTATTTTTTTATAATCTTCAACCCTCTGACTAACTGCTCTAAGTTGAAGCGCTGTTCACAGAATGACTGACCACATAAAAGAGATTTCACTTTTTTTCTCGTTACTAAGCAACGAGCAAGGTGTGAAGTTTCTGCGAGTGTTGAACATTTACGATAGAAGTACGAGTAATTTCCAAACATGCAACATGACATTGCAGTAAATAATCAAAGCCTCCGCCGAGGGCGCATTTGTACCGATGGCTTACTCCGGACGCACATATGCGTCTATAGGCCCCACCGATGATAGTTGATAGTTGACGGGGGACGTGTGCACCATCCCTTTACCGTAATGGTTAATTGGCATATGCAACACGTCCACCTCTATCTTGAGCCAGATGGGCCACACAGGCGCCTCGCACCATACACCGAAACCCAGCGACCAGGCCATCCAGGTGGCAGTCCAAAAGACCAAAGAAGCCCCCAGTAGCTTGCTTGATGCGTATATGCGCCCATAGCAGTCAAAGCATTAAAAACAATAAATATGCATATGTAATTAACTAAAAAACTCATTGGCGCAAATAGCCCTAATGCGCCAAGGCCTGTAGTGCCCCGAAATCTGCTTTCTTGATCGTGAACCCTGGGGTGCGTAAGCATATGCTCTGAACAAGTGGTCAGCTTGGTGACAGGATCCCCAGTGTTTAGTCCCCAAGGGAACTTGGTACTCATTTTATCGACTTAAGGGATTGAAATCAAGTGACGAAAGGCTGAATCGACCTTGCCCAGCTCGGGCTCGAACCCCGGACCTGTGGTGCTGCTGCGCGATGCGTTAGCAACTGCGCCACCGGGAATTTATGCATATGGAATTACAGATTGTTTTTTTTTTTTTTCCATTAGTGGGCACTTAACCGACTTAGGCTTGGCCACTAAGACCGGAAGTGGTGGTCACTCTATAGTGGAAGCACCTAAAAGGTGGGCGGCCGTTACTTTCTATGAAGGAACGGACAATTATAGCCTTGCCTCCTCCGAGATTCGAACGGGCCTTGCCTTCTCCAGGATTCGCTATAGTAGCAGGCTCCCCAAAAAGGTATACCATCTGGACGGCAATTAAAGAGAGGTTATATTGCGTTTTTTTTCTACCACAACAGTCGCATATAATGAGACTATTTTATTATAGGTTATAATATTTCCTTGTTATAATGCTTTTGGATACTGGGTAGGATTTGTCCCAAACCTTTGTGGAATCATTAGGTGTTTATGAAGCATGATACGTGAAATATATGCAGTGCCGTCGCCGGGAATCTAACCCTGGACCTTTCGAATACCTGTCTGTCCAACTATTCCGGTTTTAATGGACCTTCTTATCTGCCTTTGAATGGCAACGCGAAATTTAGTAGAAAATCATTGATTTAGAAAACGCGAAGTGGCAATAATATGAAATAAAACTCTTTCTCGATTTGTTTTAACGCAACTTGGATGCTGCTGATGAGATGTTAGATTATTTTGTTTTTATTATTCCAATAAATTTCCAACAAAACTAAACTGAGGGTTGATTTTAAGTAGGAACACCACTGAACCACTGCATGTAGACTTTTAGATGCGGCCTTAAGATTCATCGTAGAACTTCGTAGGTGTACCGGACTTTGTCCAAGAATGAATTGTTCTAGGAAACACTGGTAGTCTTTTCAGTATTGGCATTTAGGAAACTCGCAGCATTAGTGGCTTGGACTCAAAGTCAGAAATATTTATAGTTTAATGAATTTTATGTATAATTATTAGATAACGATTCTACTTTTTTCGCAATAAAATTCAAACTACCATAAACTATTTATCCATCTACTGTGAAAATTTAAAAGCTCCATAAAAATGATTGAACAAGGGGATTCTGATTTAATTAATAATATTGACTTCTACAAAATAGACTTATACATATGGACATTCTTTCACACTCTTCAAGACATTTACTTCTACGTATGAACTTCTGTATATGTTAGCATCACTTCAAATCTATACCATATCCACCTACTATAGGAAACATATGGACTTATATATAGACTTTATATTTTATTTTATTACTTTATTAATTTTACTACATATAGACATTCTACATATGAACATTCTTCTACATATGGACTTTTACACATATTTATATGTTGACTTCTACATATGGACTTTTACACATATTTATATGTTGACTTCTACATATGGACTTTTACACATATTTATATGTTGACTTCTACATATGAACTTTTACACATATTTATATGTTGATTTCTATATACTCTTTATATTTTATTTTTAGTCCAAAGGGACTTTGTCTCTGAAGGATTATTGTTTTCGTTTTGCTATTTTGCGTCGGAACTCTATAAACGGCGGAACTCAAATCGTTGCCACCAAATACTATCGTCCTGTATTATATTTGAAGAAATTAAATAATGAAGAATCTGCATAAATGTATGTATGTTTCTCGCATTGTGATAAAACAACGGTACATAGAGCCATCCAATTTTGAGTGGCGTAATCCTACTGCGAATATGGGCATCTGAAAGACCAAATTTGAAATTTGGAATTTGTTTTATGATCGTTTTCCTGTTTTGTAAAACTTTAACGAATTTTTGATTAACAAACTCAAGGATTTCAAAACTAGCAATGGCAACGTTGTACAGAAAAAATATTTTTATCTCCAGCGATCGAGGCTGTGTATCGGAAATTCTAAAGATAGGCTCAGTTTAAAATTATTTTGCGATATTGCTCTTGAACTGAATTTTACGGTTTAAGTGCGAAGAACATGATATTTAATAAATAAAAGTTACTCACAAAATGTTAAAAAATGCCCTTTTGGACTTACAGTGGTGGCCAAAATTATGGACACTTTTGGAAATTTTTATGTTTTTGAACTTTGTATGCTTATAGAATATGTTACCTTTAGCAAAATGCAAACTTGTATATATCATTTTAAAGAGAATTTATTACTGAATTCAATACAAAACACAAAATTCAATTATTTGCAATACAAAAAGTTATATGTACTTTAATATAAATAAAAAACACAGTTAGGAAGTGGTTTGTAATGTCTAACTTTCCTGGCCAATCACTGTTCTTGTTCTGAGAACCAATCAAATGTTAGTAACTGTCAGTAGAAGCTGACATCATGTTTACACTTGAAACTATTCATTATTTTGCTTTGTTCTGTAGAAGGAGGACCTGTTTCTTATACACTGCAATTACGAGTAGGAATTTTTCTAAAAATTTTTAATATTTAGTCAAAAAGCAATGACGTCAAATAAAAGAGCAGATTGTACACCTAGAAAGAGATCTAATATTATTGTGTTACAAGAAAGTGGTCTTTCCTATGCTGAAATTGCAAGACAGGTGGGTAGTTCAGTGACTACATCTGGAGTCCGAAAGTTTTGTTTACGATATCAGGAGACAAATTTAATAAAAAACAAAGAAGGAAAAGGCTGAAAAAAGGTGCACCACATGTACTGATGACAGAAGAATAAAAAGACTATGTCTCCAAGATAGAAAAATGTCATCAGCGGCCATCAGAAGTGATCCGAATGATGCTGGCCTTTCTGTCAGTTCAAGAACAATCAGGAGAAGATTAACGGATGTTGGACTGAGAGGTAGAATTCCACGAAAAAAAGCCTTATCTTAATTTTCAGCAACGAAAACAAAAAGATTACAGTGGGCAAAGGAACACATTAATTGGACCGATGATCAGTGGTCACAAGTTATATGGCGTGATAAAACTAAGATATTGTTATTCGGTAGTGATGGGCGAAAATATATAAGACGTAGAATAGGAGAAGAGCTACATCCTGACTGCATTCAAGCAACTGTGAAGAACCCAGTTAGTGTTATGATTTGGTCATGCATGTCAGCAGATGGTATGGGTCGCCTTCATGTCATCGATGGGACACTGAATGCCAGAAAATACATTGACACTATCCTAGAACCAAAACTTCTACCTTCCATCAGAGATCTCTTTCCCAACAATGCTTCGTTTATTTTTCAGCAGGATTCTGCCCCTTGCCACACGGCCAAAATATCGAAAGAGTGGTTTCGTACAAAGAGCTTTAAATTGTTGTCATGGCCAGGAAACAGTCCTGACCGCAATCCTATCGAAAATTTGTGGCACCGTTTGAAAAATCTTGTTCGAAGGAGGCGCCCATCAAATAAAAGGAAACTAATTGTTCCCTGGCATCCTGTAATAACGAAAGAAGAGCTTAAAACTCTTGTCAGCTCAATGAAAGGTCGATGTGAAGCTGTAATAAAAAATAAAGGGTACCCTACTAAGTACTGATAACTCACTGCAATCATCACTATCTAATGTATATCAATGACTATTATCGTTTAACCTTTTTTTTTGTATTGCAAATAATTGAATTTTGTGTTTTGTATGGAATTCAGTAATAAATTTTCTTTAAAATGATATACACAAGTTTGCATTTTGTGAAACGTAACGTTTTCTATAAGCATACAAAGTTCAGAAACAAAAATTTCCAAAAGTGTCTACAATTTTGGCCACCAATGTAATTTAAAAATCTGAAAACTTTTCAGATTTTTTTTTAATATATATATAATATATATATATATTTAAAAAAATCTGAAAAGAAAAACAATATATATATATATATATATCTATATATTTGTTTTTAAAGTTATCTAAGTTGAAAGTTATATTATGTATTCAACATTTCTAATTACTTAAGTTTTGTACATTAACCAATTATAATGTAACATGTACACTAAATTGTTTTAATAAATGCCGCTGAGTTTCAGATGGTGGACAGTACCCATCAGTAGGGCAGCATACAAGCCTAAAGTCTAAATGATGGTGAGAATGCTCCATTGATGGTCTTCTGTAGGTTACTCACGAAAAAGTTCTCCATTCTTTAGCTAAAAAAATTTGGGGTCTTACCTTAACGTTTGTCACCTTAACATGGGCAACCAATGTTTCGGGACTGCCTATACCACCGTGGAAAGGTTAAGTTACGTTAACAATGACAATGAATAAACACTTTTATATATTCTAAAACTCAAAACGTTTTCCGCTAAAAAGTACATTTTTGAAAAAGTACTCTTATCTACTGAATAATGTTATCTATCAGACAGGTGTTTGCAAGCGCAAATTAAAAAAAAAAAAAAATTAAAATCTATATATATTCTTTTGTTTCACAAATATCAGGAACACATGCAATCCATAACTTATAAAATATAGGATTTCAGAGCGGTAAGAATCATGTGTAATAACCATGTAAGTAGGAATTCTCTGTAAACAATTTTATACCGTCAAGCATCATAATTTAATTCTAGATACGAGTGATATAAAAAAGCACCAAATTTACTTACAGGTACAAATGCACTAGTGGACTGGTAACATATACGATACACCTAAATAAGTAGGAAAAAAATACAAATATTTAAAATGCATATATATACACACAACAACACAATAAAAAAGAACTGTTAATCGAAATCAATATTTTAAAATATAACTAACACTATGGATTTTTTAACTGATAGTTATCGTTAGAATAATCAAACTTTGCTTAAATCAAATAGTATGTAATAAATTAAAAACACACGAAATTCATTTTAACTTTATCCATAACCCCAATAATATTTTAGTGTTACTATAAAGATTGAAAAGAACTTTCATAATTTCATTTAGATTTAAAATTAAGTTTTAAATAAAAAAAATTAATGAAGTATTCATATAATTTTTTTTTCATTTAAGAATCGTTAAAATTGATTCACTTTAAAAGCGCATCAAATTTAATAGATGTCTATATACACTGCGAAAAAAAATACATCTATATCTCCCATTTCCCTGTGCCAATTGACGAAATTCAAACTGCTTTTTTCATGTCTCGATAGCGCGATTTAGGATGTATATTAGATTTATATACACCATTGTTCCAACATAGGTATTTTGACACAAAATTGGACTTTTTCTGAAAAAAAAAAAAAAAAAAAAAAAAAAAAAAAAAAAAAAAACCGCTTTTTTTCCATATTTCGATTCTACTTTTCAAATTATGCCTAAATATTAAATTTTGTAAAATTTGATGCAAAATTTACGGAGAAATTCACAAATTTATCTTGGCACATTTTTTTACTTTGCGCCAAGAATAATTCATTTGGCGAACTTCTTAATATATGGCAACCCATTTTCCTTTCCTTTCCATTGTGCAAGACCGGAAAAAACGTCACGACGTTCCTATCTTTTTACATGAGCAGAAGAAAAGTCACATCGTTCCTCCTTTTAAATAATTTTAACAAAGTGTCTAAACCACATTTGATGTTTTATCGCTTTCAACAACGATACCAAATTTCAAAACGCGCCAATATATACATTCACGTATATCTTCGGAAATATTGAATAACAAACTGCAATTTTTCGCAGGTAGGCTTAGAAATACGTTTACTATAAGATGATGTAAAATTTTATAGATTATAATTAAAAAATGTTTTTGAAAATTTATAAAATTTATTTAAAAATAGAAATTTTAAAAAATAAATCATAAAAAATTGGCGAATTTTATTGGAATGAGCCTAAAGTTCGAAATGTGTTCGTAGAATTGAAATATTGAAAAAAAAAAAAAAAAAAAAAAAATGGTATGTTATTTCAGAAAAGTCGGACTTTGTGTGAAAATATCTATATTAGAACAATGCTATATATAAATCTAATACATATCCTAAGTCGCGCCTTCGAGACATTTTTTTTTCGCAGTATAAGTTAGACGTTTTTTTCGGAAAAAATCTAATTATCCAAATTTTTGATTATCCGAATGGGGTCCCGTCCCAAGTGATTAGAATAAATGGAATTCTGCTGTGTAACTATTTAACAATATTCTGCAACTCTGATTATATCTCCGGTGAAGAAAACAAACGATAGTTTAGCATTTAATATCCTTAAGTTGACGATTATAAATGTATATTTAATAGAATATTTAACAGGACAAATTCCTTAGGTCCTTCTTATAAAATTAAGGAAAACAAAGCATTTGAAGATACAAAATGTTATAATACTTACAACGAGTGGTATCAACAAACTTTCTGTAAAGGCTAGAACAGCAAAGGAAATTACACTCCATTTACTTAAACAGGTCACTTTATTTTCCATCTTTCGTTCCTGAAAAGAAATTTTGCACTTACAAACCGATATATGGAATCATAATACAGAGGCTGTTCACACATATTTTAGACGATAATGTATTCACAAAACTAAATTACATAAAATTCTTGTGTTTTAAATATTCTGTTTGACATCCCTTATTCTGAACTATCTTTCGACACCGCAATTTCCAGGATAATAATGCCTTTTGAAGTGGCAGAAGAGATATTCTATCCCATTCCTCCCGAACAGCTTTCCTGTTAGGGTTTTGGGACAACGTTTGGATAATGCAGTTTTTAAAAGTCAGAAAGCACAAAAATCCATAGGTGACACATCCGGAGATTGAGTAGGGATATCAGTGAAGAGTATGGCCTTGATACCAGTTTTTTGTTCCATTACTTTTAGGAAATTTACAGTGGATTTTGATGTGTGACTGCTAGCTTTGTCCTCATGGAGTCTCACAGATGGATGGCACTGTGGGTAAAGCGATGGTATTTCATTCAGAAAAATTGGCGATAAAATATGTTCCTGATAGTATTTGGAGTTAATCTTGACATTTTTTCGCACTCTCTTTATTTTTAACTTGCTGTTATAAGAAAAACCAGCAACAATCATGAATCCCTTAGAAAAACTTTTTTTCGATTCTTTGAACCATGTACTTAAATTTTTTCTCCTTTTTTATGATAATAAATGGCTCTTTTTATGTTACAATCATTTAAATACACCCATGCTTCATCTATTGTGACAATGGTTTTCATTTTTCTTTGGATAATTGTTTCTCGTATAGAATTCTGCAGCGTGTCCTGCGTTGAGCGATATGCTTTGGAAGAAGACGATGCACATTGCGTTTTTTCGCTTTCTTAAGATTTAAATCAACGTTTATCATTTTGTTTACAGTGGACACCGAGCATTTTAATGATTTTGCAACTGTCCTTTGACTAGGGGGATTTTCTTTTAACATTAAACAACGTAATTTTGCAATAGTCGAAGATGTCCGTTTTTTCCTTGGATACTTGTTTGGAATTTTTGTCCCACTTGAGGCTCCAATTTGACGTTTTTTTCCTTTCTTGTTGATGATATTACCTATCGACGCTTTAGATATCACAAAACCATGACTCTCACATCGGTTTTGGATAACTGAGTATGCATATTTCTCTTCGGAAAGAGCGTAAATGTAGTCTTCGAACCACTGCTTTGTTAAATTCGCCATTTTGAATAAAAACAAAACTTTCGAGCCACAGACAATAATTTTGACTTTTAAAAACATAGTACAATTGCAATTACTTCTTTTGCAGCAAACAATTTTTTATTACCGCTTACCAAAATCGTCTAAAAAATGTGCGAACAGCCTCTGTATACCAAAACTACACGTAGCATTCTCTCTTAGAATACATTTACTTAATTTACATAGTATGACATGAAAAATGGCAGTTAAAAAGAGTTCTATATATACTACCTCTAGTTATATGAATTGTAAACTGCAACAACATTTGATAAATCAGTTACTGTTTTATAAACTTCTATTTAATTTATAAAGTCACGTATTCTTAGGTAACAAACTAACAAGCTTTAAAAGACTGTATGACGGTCTTATTGACGACACGAAGTAATAAACTATAAAACTGTAAAACCCAAAATGGTTCAAAAGCTCATTTCAGTATAATCAGACAGGTGTAGTTTAATTGTAGAGAAGATTTCAGATGTGTATCTACAACAGATTTTGAGAAAGGGTGTATCGAAAATGGCCAATTTAACATTGTCGGTATACGGGGCTCCGACTCCCCTTGAGTTCATTCAATATAATTTCGCAAATGGGCCCTCACCTGGGCGTACACAAAGCCAACACTTCTGGCTTAATTAAAACAGATAACGAAGAACTTAAAATAAAATTTAGTAAGTTACTTTTTATAAACTTAGTTAGTTTGTAGAGATATTAGATATTTTTTTGAAAGCAGACGAGAGGAAAAATAGCAAACGTCTTCGCCTGGGAATCGAACCACGGACCTCTTTAATACCGGCTTAGTGTGCAGAACCAATACACCGCGAAGGCACGCTAGGAAAGTGGGAGAAATACCTTATAAGTTTATAGAGTCTCGTTACCTTAGGTAACATAAATTAACGAGTTTGGAAAGACTGTATGAAGAATTATCCTCAGGACTTATCGACGACAAGAAGTCAGAAGAATTCTGTAAAGAACCCTTATTTTATTCATGTACTCGTCATTCAGTATAATTTCAGAGACTTAGATGTACACAAAGCCAACCTTTCTGGCTTAATTCTTTAACGCGCAGGAAGGCTCTGACTTGTAGAAATTGGCGAAAGCAAGCTTAATGGCTAGAAGCGCTCGACGTCACAGAGATTCGATCGCTAGTAATTCACGATAGCAATGTGGCCTTCAAGCAGACAAAACACGCTCTCTAAAATGGTCTTTCAAAACCATCTCTTATATATTACTTCTTTCTACCTCATCTTTATTATATATATAAGCAGCTAAAGTGTGTGTCGCCGATAGTTTATTGTTGCCACTCGGAAAAATTAGCGTGGAAATTAACGTTTCCGCAGTTAATCTCTCTGCCGATTAAAGTCGTACGAAGATGAGAATGGTATCTATGGATTCGGAGAATTTTTGGAATCCCAGGATACGCGTCTCGAACTTCAACTCGGCGCCGTTCCGTAGATATTCCAGAGAAAAGAATTTGGCACGTAGCCAAATCCCTCTAATAGGGAAAACCCAAGAAAGAAAATGGAACATGTACGGAAAACGTAAGGAAAAGTTAGTTTTTAATTAATATCTCGGCTAATTAAAGTCCCAAGAAGACGCGAATGGTCAAAATGGCTTGCCACGGACCTGCGGAATCCAACGGTGTGTTTCGCTAAGCCCGGGAGCCAGCTGCTTAGGAGAAGATGATGTTATTTCACCTCATATATATATGCAGCTTAAGTGTTTGTTTGTCACCGATAGTTTATTGGTTGCTTGCCTAAATGTACTAGCCAATGGGGTGAAGTTGCCGTTTCAATTGAGACGTAGTCAATTTTCTGTAAAATTTGCCTTTGGTATGACCATCCATAAGTCTCAGGGCCAAACGCTCAAGCGTGTTGGCATTTTTTTTTTACCTGATCCTGCATTTGGACAAGGGCAACTTTATGTTGCCTGTTCAAGAGTTCGTGAAAGAACGGACGTAAAATTAAAAATAATGGATGGTCCTCTGCAAGGCGGGCTTAAAAACCTCGAATTGGGCTAATTGGCCATTTATTGCAATTCTTTGTGTATAATTTCTTTGCCTTTAAATATTTTTGATTGTTTGCGTACATAAAATGTAGTTTTTTGATTAAAAAATTATTCTTTTCTAATTCCATTTTTGTTTTTAAAGTTTATATTGTTTTGTAGTTATTACAGTAGGTTTTTTTTCGCGTTAACCTTTACCGCTTTAGTATTGTCTTATTGTTTATACTCAGTGTAACTTTTTACACTGGAACTGCAGTATCAAATGTACTTTAAATTACATTAACGAATTTGAAATTTCCTCTTCTATACAATATATATGTTACCGTGAAAGACCGAAATTGAAGAATGTCGACTTTCACCGGAGAATATCAACATTCACCAAATACGTCGGTGAAAGACCGAATATTTCACTACATTTTTGTATATTCGGACCCTCACCGGTGTATGTCGACAATCACAGATATGCTCTGGTGAAAGTCGAAAAGAGAGGTCATAAAGTGCCATAACAGTTTAAGTTGTTGCAGTAAATAAGATTTGAATCACATAATTTAGTAAGTTTTTTATTACTGTTATTTATTTTCTCATTTAGAACGTACTGTATAATTAAGTAAGTTTTTAACTTCTATTATTTTCCTTTCTCATTTTGAATGTATCGTGTGTTTTAGGTTCTCATGTTCTTAAGTTCTCATTTCAAGTGCGTTTATTCGCGACTGAATTACGGAGAAGAAAATATAATATTGTTATATGTTCAACATTCACCATTAGTACATGGTGAATGTCGACATTGACCGGTATAAGTCAGAAATAAGAGTATTTGGAAAATATTTCGGACATACACCAAGGGACTATGTGAATGTTGACATTCACCGGTGAAAGTCGACATTCTCCAGATTTCGGTGTTTCACCGTAACATATATACACATCTTTACAGATATCACAAAAGATATTCTAGGCCTTGCCGGTTAAAGGGAAGAATTAGCGATACAGACAGAGCGAAACAAAATCCTTTAATACAAGTTCCTTTAAAAGGCAAAGTCTAAGTTACTTACTTCAGATCCAAAAGGTGAGCTTTCGGAAACTTTCCGAGTTATCCTAGAGTGGATGAACAGGTCAACAAATTGATCTATCTGTGTAGCGAACCAACTCTATAAAGCTTCTCACACCCGTGACAGGGTGTTGAAAATTCGGCGTGGGTTTCGTAGCGCTTCGCTGATTTCCTTTTGATATGCGACAAAAAAATATGTTCAAATTTTATTTGGCCACAAAAGAGAGATAACAGTGAATCCAAACAACTACCGGTTATACATAACGTTTAACAAATGATATCCTCTGCTACCTAATTCCCTCACGCTTGCTGGAAAATGCTTGTGAACTTGAGTAGCGAACGTGACGGTGCTGATAGTATTGATATTTGCATTTTCTGTTTTACTTTCTTGCGTTCGCAGAATGTGTGGTATTCAAGTGAATGACGAACTAAGTGGTTCTCCAATGAGTCAATGAGGTATTTCACTTTGACATCATATGTACCATTTCATGATTATTACAGGAAAATTACGGGAAAGTGGGACACGATTATTGGTGGCTAAAGGCTAACGAAAAGCCAGAGGAAGATTGGGAATAAACTGAACGTTTCTTCAATATGCTTAAGAAGCAGTTCTGAAAATTGTTGCCTTTATGTAGTTTTCTAAAACGCAAATGAACTATGAGTTATATCACATTCCGGAGAAGCTAAAATAATATTATATAGGAAAGAGAAGATGTACTATAATTTAAATCTTAAGATCTAAATAACTCAAACAATTAAAAAAAATTCTAAAAGCTTTCAGATTTTATGTTACGCCCAAATGGTTTTTTTTAACGTTTTGTCGGTTTCTTTTATTTATTAAATATCACGTTCTTCGCACTTAACTCATAAAATCCAATTCAACAGCAATATCACAAAATATTTAAAATAACATATCTTTAGAATTTCCGATGCATAGAGATAAAAATGCTTTTTTTTTCCCATGCAGTGTTGCCATTGCTCGCTTTGAAATCGTTGAGTTTCTCAATCAAAAAATCATAAATACATTACAAAATTGGAAATAAATAATAAAACACATTCCAAATTCGAGGCTTCCACATGCCCACATTCGGGTGGAGACGTGCGTTATTCAAAATTGGAGGGTTCCAAGTACCGTTGTTTTATCACAATGCGAGAAACATACATACATTTATGCAGATTCTTCTTTTTTATTTCTTTAAATATAATACAGGGCGATAACATTTGGTGGCAACAATTTATAAAGAGATTTGCCGTTTATAGTGAATCTACGCAAAATGCCAAAACGAAATTAATAGCCCTTCTGGGAAAATTGCCTCTTTGGACGAACAAAGTACATTTTTGATGATGAACTTTCTGGAACAGAGCTATGGATTTATAAGTTTTATTATTACATTCTTAGTTATCCACTGTGTAAACTAATGAAATTTTTATAGGTCTTGTTCACATTCAAAATACGAATGTTGTGTATGAAAGTAATCATTAATAGTGGAAGATAACAAAGTCTGGCTAATCTTTAGAATATGGTAACAGGTAGTTTGGCGACATTTTGGTAAGGCCATAAAGGTTACTAGCTAGGACTTTAGCAATAATCTGAGAAGTACACAGTTCGAATCACAGATTATTTTGTCTCAGAGAAATGAGAGATCATGAGACATGTCATGTGACATTTTCCGGAAAATTCCGATCGTGATTTTAGCTAATAAGCACTTAGAAACAATTTCGCTGCTAAAGTGCAGAATCGCCCACTTATTTGTTTGGCGCTTTTTACAAGAGTAAGAAGAATTGGATTTTTGTCATTATTTATTTTCTTTGACTTTTTAAGTGAAAATAGGTCGTTGTGTACACAGATAAAGTCAAGAGTGTGCGCAATGCCATTTTTGTGCAATTCTGGGATGTTTTTTTAAGTGAAAATAGGTCGACGTGTACATGGATACCGTGTATGTCGAATTATTAAAACGCGGCAAGCAGTTTGCGATTCTGCCAATTTCGCACCTAATCTTCGTCATGATTAAGCATTTTTGTTCCATAAAATTTCTAGCATAAGCGTAATTCGGCTAGCAGATTGTCGGAAAAAATTGAGTTAAAAAAAAAAAAAAAACATGCCTTTACTTCGTGAAAACCAAATGGCGTCCAAAGCAAAACTAGCTGGTTGCTGTAGCAGGGTTGGTCGCCAAATTTTTGCCAAAAAATTGCCAAGTTATCATAATGTAAAGATTCACCCAAAGTCTTTGTTAAGGTATCCGACCTCGTACGAAAGACGATTTTCGGTCAAAATTTCGATTTTTACTTTATTACATTATCTTAAAGAATACATCTTTAGCTATCAAATACAAGTTTTTGCTTGTTGATAGGTTAATTAGAACGAAGTTATAAGCATTTTTTCTGTACTGAATAAACAGGAAGTTCTCCATATTTCTGGACCGGAAGTGAGCGTGTTTAAATAGATATACCTATTTAAAAACTTTATTTATCATCAAGATTTTGTAAATTATAAACCTGTGCACTAAGTTTAGATATTTTGTAATCCATTTTAAGAATCTGGTGTTAGTTTTTTCCTTTAATTTCGTATTTAGTTTGACGCAGAGGGTATTCGACGTTTAAGGTATGTGTTGCTGCTTTGTCGATTAGCGTTGACAAAGTGCTTGATTTGAAAGCTATGTCACATTTTTGCATCATTTGCAACAAAATAAACAGAATGGCATGCAATCTTCAGCACGACATATGTAAAGCGTAACATAATTGTTCTGCAAATTATAAAGAAGCAGCTTCGGGTATGGAACTAGTTGGTGCTTATGGTGTTTGAATGATCTATTACATTACGAAAGCTGAAGTACACGGAGTATTACGAGGATGGGGATTCTAAGGGGTTTTTAATTGTGAAAGATATATATGCTAAAGATTCGGTCAAGAAAGTGGAATGCATTGAACATGTACAGAAAAGGGTTGGTAGTAGACTACGAAAAATAAAAAACTCCGCTCCTGAATTGAAAGGAAAAGGTAAACTGACTGATTCTTTTATTGATAAACTACAGAATTAGGGATTGCAATTAGAAGTCATATTTGAAACTTAATTGAGATGCAGCAGGTTGTACTAACTGCTTGTTCCATTGTAGCGAATATTAATGTTTGGAGGAAATGTAAGTGTTGTGTTATTTAATGTTATTTAAAGGTTTGCTTGAAGCATTTTCAAGGTTAGATATGTGCCCTGAATTTTACACCAAGCAGGGAATTCGAAAACTTGATAAAGTGCAAAATCATGACTTTTGGTGGCCTTCCACGAGTTTTACAAAAACCCAAAGAAAAAATTACGCTTTGTTAGAAAGAAAAAGTGCATAGTGTGGGAATAAAAAAACAAGGTGTCAAGTTTACAAAGCAGAGGAATTTTAATTATCAGGGATGCTTCTTTCACTAAGAAATTGTTTTATGAAAACTTTAAACTTGTTTTCTGAAAAATGTTTTTTTCTGTAAATTTGCCAATGGTAACAGCCATAACTCAAGATTTATGGATAAAATTAAAATGATACTTTTCTATACAGTTTTACATAGTCTGATGCATGCTCTGAAGCGAAGAAATTTTTTAGAATATTAATTAGAAGTTGAATTGTTATTTTATTTTTAGATTTTGGATGCAATAATAGAAAAATATAATAGTAAATATTATACATTTCGACATATCCTCAAGAATATATGAATATTTCTTAAATTTTGGCTTCATGCCTACAAAACAAAGTGTAAACATAAATACAAAGTAAAAAAAAAACTGCATATTATATATACTTTTTCACCGTGGTTGTTGCCGTAAAGGCAAAATTTAAGCAAAAAATTTCCTTTTTTTTCGTTATTTTTCAAAATTTAAAATTACTTAGCACTACGTTTTAAATTGTTTTCACTCATTAATATGCTTATCTTCAAATTAATATGTTTATAGTTAAAATAAAAACCATTTTTAAAAAATGGTACCCGAACGAAGTCGGATACCTTAAGCGATATGTTATCCCGTTAGGGCTAACTGGTATTTTCCCTCTTCTTCTTTTGGATTTTCTGCGTATTGCTTATTGAATAAAATCTAAATTTTAGAGTTTGAAGTAATATATTGGAGCGTTATTACGTTTTTAGATGTTGGAGGTGTGAAGAATACCCTCCCTGGGACTTGAACCTTTACTTCCGAATACCAGCCGAGTGTGCTACCGTTACACCCCGAATGCATGCTGGAAAGAGGGAGAAAATACCTTATATACTTCCCCTTTTAAAGGGCGATTGGGGATTAGGGGACACAATCGCCAAATCCTGCTGGTGAGAATTATTGTCCACGACCTTTTAGTTCGTTTGCCACTTCTAGAGTTATTAGGGTTTTCTTAAGCAGGAGAGGTGAAGAAAGTACAATGCCCTTGCCGGGTCTCGAACCTGGACCTCTCGAAAACGTGCCGAATGTGTTACCGTTACACAACGCAGAAATGCTGAAAAGAGGAACAAAATAACTTATAGTATAATAGATTTATATTGTTACGGTTTTTGTATTGATTTAGATATTTTTTAAATAGAATTAATCAAGATTGTTTTATATTACCGTGCAATACAGCACGAGAGTTATTTGAAGAGAAATCTACGCCGGAAGAATTAAAAATAGAAGAGCACGCACATTTAATAAATACATATCTCGTAATCGTACGGTTTTGCTTTTCGGAAAAAAATTGGAAAAATACTAGAATATTCTCGTGCTGATTAAAAAGCTTATAAAAAGCGGGAGGAAAACACCTCAGTTCAGTTGTTGTACGAGTTGTTTACTCATTGCTGTTAATGATTGTACCGAATTCGAGATGACTTACTTAGATTTCTCAGTTTTGAATTAAGTTCTATTGAACGTTTTAGTAGTTTAAGGTATAACTACTGTGTGATATTGCAATATTGTACGAATATATGAGGAAAGTTAAGCATTTTGTTTAATTTGTTGTGATAATAATAAATTTTATTCACTTTTCATCGGACTTGTGAATTCAATTTATTACGAACCCGTGCGCACGCGACAATATTTTCAGCCATAAATATTGCAAATATTGCTTTGATTTAA